TTAGGCATTGTTCACATTGCCTAATCCGCTAATTTTTCTTTGCCATTTTTTGAACCTTTGCAAATTGATTTATATAGCGAAAATGTACTCTACGTGTAGCTAAAAGAATGCACTTTAATTTAATATAAATTTCATTAAAATCTATTTGCTAAAAATATAAAAAATATTTGCCAAAACTTTTCAAAGAACTGGCAAAGTAGGAAAAATTTGCAGCATCGCATTCTTTGCCATTTTATGAACCTTTGTAGATTATTTTATACCGCGAAAAAGTACTCTACGTGTAGCTTAAAGTTTGCACTTTAATTTAAAATAAAAATCGTTAAGATCCGTATGCTTTAAGTATAAAAAATATTTGCCGAAACTTTTCAAAGAAATTGCAAAAATGCACTATTTACAGCATTGCATTYTCTGACATTTTATGAASYTTTGCTAATTAATTTATARCTCAATAAGGTATTCTACGCATAGACAAAAGAGTGCACTTTAATTTAATAGAAAAATCATTAAAATCCATTTGCTAAAAGTATAAAAAATATTTACCAAAACTTTTCATAGAAATTGCAAAGATTCACAATTTACAGTATTGCATTCTCTGACATTTTCTGAACTTTACATGCTAAATTTATAATTCGATATTGTATTCTACGCGTAGACAAAAGAGTGTACTTTAATTAAATATAAGTTTCATTAAAATCTATTCACTTTTAGTATAAAAAATATTTACCAAAACTTTTCAAAGAAATTGCAAAGATTCACAATTTACAGTATTGCATTCTCTGACATTTTCTGAACTTTACATGCTAAATTTATAACTTGATATGGTATTCTACGCGTAGACAAAAGATTGTACTTTAATTTAATATAAAAATCATTAAAATCTATTGACTTTTTGTATAAAAAATATTTACCAAAACTTTTCAAAGAAATTGCAAAGATTCACAATTTACAGCATTGCGTAATGCTCTTTGCATTGATGAGAATGCCGAGGAATTATTATCAATGACTGATTTCCAGCTTCGACGGTAACATATATATACTATTTTTATTTTTTATATATCTCTTTTTAACACAAGAGGGCGGACGGGGGATGAAAGAAGAAGAAGGGTGTCTTTGACCTTTATCCAACGATTTAATCACTTTATTTCTCCCTGTAATTCTCCTTAAAATTTCAAGTCACGGATATAGATAATCAGCTTTTTTTCCCAATGGCAGGCAACCAGGTAGGTTGGGTGGGTGGGTAGGTGGTTGGGGGTGGTAGATGGTGGGTGAAAAAGTCGATGTCATAGCAACTCTTCTCATTGGAGGATTCCTTCTTCGATTCATCTTTTTCTTCTTCTTCTTCTTCTTCTTCTTCTTCTTTACCACCCTCCTCCCACCCCTTTTCTCGATTGTTCCTACCTTCGTTTCTGGGTAAATTGAAGAAAGGAAGTGCAAGGAGTGTGTTACTCAGAAGATTCCATTTCTTTTTTCTCCTCTTCGTGAAAATTATACCATAAGAAAAAAAAAATAAAAAAAAAAAGAGAGATCCCCCCCCTGTTGCCCCCTTTCCGGTCCCTTTTTATTTCTTCTTTCTCTCTCTAACATGGTTCGGTGAATTCAAATAATAAACTACGCGTTCGTTTCATTTTTTTGTCTTTATATAAAATTTGCGTAGATTTTTATTGTTGTATACTTTGTGGTTAACTTTGAATATAATATATAATATTACTACTATCAGATTTCTCGTCTTGCAAACGTCATTTTAATTGTTTAGATTCATTTTATCTTTTATTATTCGGTTCAAATATTATTAATCCCATGGTTCGTTCAAAATTAATATGGCAAAAAAAAGACACTTTGTTCGTACCAATATGTGTTTTTTTTCTTATATATATTTTTAAAGAAAATTCTTGAATGAAAAGTTGCATTTATATTTAGATAAATAGATAGATAGATAGATAGATAGATAGATAGAAAGAATCTATATATCTTCTTACGTTACGTTAGGAAACAAAATATCACGTGTCGGGATGGTTGTCTCGTATGTCGTTAAGTAAGAATTCTTTCTTCAAAATAGAAGAAGAAGAAAAAGAAGAAAAAGAAGAAGAAGAAGAAGAAGTAATCGTTCAAAAAGGTTCTATCTCTTTCTTTCTCGTGGTATCGAAAAACGTAGTTTCCCTTGATGGAAAGAAAAGTGGTGTGTATCCTCTTTCGACATACCAATATCTATCCCCCTCTTAACCCCCCCTTCCCCCTCTTCTTAGAGTATTATCGGTCCTTCAGCTGTAGATACCTATTACGTTTTACAAACTTTTTCAAAATGTAAACCGAAGCTAATTTTACGATATAGATACATATTATATACGAACAAAACACTAAAACTCCAAATTTTCTATCTACCTTTTTTCTTTTTCTTTTTCTTTTTTTTTTT